TAAGGCCCAGAGGACAACACGTTGACCTGGCTAAGCAGAGTAAGCAGGAGCTTCACACACTCTCCTCTCCCCCCCTCCATGCTCCGAGCCACCCATCTGTCTCCATGGAGGGGAGGAGGCTGCCGTCTGTGCCAGGTGAAAAGGAGTCACTTCCAGGGCAAAGGGGGAACCGAAAACAGGCCTGGGCACAGGACACTTGGTCCTGAACGTCCTCCATCACATGCCACTCTCTGATGCACCCTCACATAGCTTTTTCTTTTCCCTCTTTCCAACAGGGATAAATTTTGTATAGTGCTGCACATGGTATTTGGATGGAGAAGCCAACAATCCCTAGCTGAAAGGAATTTCCACCATTCAGCACTAAACCTAGAATTACAAGGACATGTGGAAAAACACAGTCCCAGCTGCTCCACTGGGAGAGGACACTGTCATTTCTTTTACACTTTTCTTTAGCATTTCCATTCTAGCCATAGTGCTGTCAGTTGCATAGCTGATTTCTGCTTAGTTATGCTGAACCTTTTATGTTGGAGTGTAATTTCTTTGTCAATTCAGATTTACTCACCTGAAACACTGATGTGTTTGTTGTTTATTTAGATACAGCCACCAAACCTGTCTAGATTTAAAGGTCATACTAGTTTGCTGTTTTTTAATTTTCAGCTTTTTCTTGAGAGTAAGACAAAAATGAACAGGTTAACTAATTAATTCTTAACTAATTCCAGCTAAAACTCAAGGGTTTAGTTCCATGACACGCAGAGAGTCATGTGCTTTCTTGGCATTTGTGTAAATTGCTTTCTTCTGTTGTGTTTCTGAAATAAATTAATTTCAAAACAGTCACAATATTAACTTGGTAAAACACCTGAAAATGGGAAGCTGCTCTTCTGACATTTTTCTAAGCTGTCAGAAGGCCTTTTGCTGTATGAGCACTGAGATGTCACGGCTGGCACTGCCACTGTCACCAGAGCCAGTCTCCTGTGATAGCACTTTACCTGTCAGAATGGGATTCTCATGGGGGGTGGGGAGCAGTGGCAGCTAGTTTATGTTCTTTAAAGTATATTATTTTAAAATATATCACATTCAGTAGTGATGTGAATAGATTTGCAACCAAGTGGAAACAATCAAGTCCTGCCAATATTGTTACTTTGGAGTTATTGATAGTCCTGCCATGACTAATTCATCCTTGTCATGCTTTCACTGGTATTACAGGGATTAGAAACTTAATTGGCTTTTATTCATGTACTTAGCCTAAATCCTGAACAACAACGTGTCAAGTAGCACAACAAGGATGTATCAGATCCATTTTTCTCTCCCAGAATTTCTTCCCCACCCTTTCCTAACATCCAGTTTATACAGGGAAGAATGAAAATGATGGCTGTGATATCTACTTTGATAAAGCCTGAAAAGGATTAATAAGAGCCAAATGTAAAACATGCTAGCCTAACAAGGGCAGGTTATGTACATACCAGGTGCTGAAATAACCCATTCCCTTCACACTCTGGCTGAAACCAACATTTAACTTTTCCTCCTAATGAGCACGACTGCTTTGAAACCCAGCAGGCTTTAACGCAGTACAAATCAGCACACCACAGCTCCGAAGGGCTTGCTAGCTGTGCAATCTGTGACTCCAGTCCCTTCACATATGGCTGTTGCTCTTCATCCTTTTTCATTTAACTGTGAAACCGGGTGATGCTCAAAGGCATGGACAACGAGTAGCTGTATAGAAGTACCACGGGGCTAAAAATAGCAAGCAGTCCCCTACTATGTTAGAAGAATCACAATTTTTCATTTAACTTCTATTGTTTGAAAAGTATTGCTATTTTAGCATTTCCTCATCTCTCACGTGCTTAGCAACTGCCACAGCTCCATACACCGTGGCAGGAAGGGTGGATATGGAGCAACCCAAGGCCAAATGGCTCTGCCGGGTAAATGAAGTTGTTCAGCCTGCAGAAGAGAAGGCTGCTGGGACACCTTACAATGGCCTTGGGAGATATACAGGGGGATTATGAGAAAGACAGAGAGACTTTCTGCCAGGGCCTCTAGTAACAGGACAAGAAGTACTCCTGTCAAACCAAAAGGGGTTAGGTTTAGATGAGACATAAGTAACAAGTTTTTGTGATGAGTGTGGCGGGACGCTGGAACAGGTTCATTGCCCAGAGAAGCTGTGGATGCTCAATCATTAGAAGTGTTTAAGGTCAGGCTGGATGGGGCTTTGAGAGACCTGAAATGGTGCAGAATGTCTCTGCCCATGGCAGGGGAATTGGACTATGTGATCTTCAAAGATCTCTTCTAACCCAAAGCATTCTGTGACTCAGTGACTCTATGAATGAGAGACCTCCTGCACACGCACCAGGGCCCTGGGGCAGAGCTCCCTTCGGCAGACACGTGGCAGCACTTTGGCCCAGTGTTCCACTTGATCAGCTCTCTGCTAACGAGGGCCAGTAGTGGATGGAAAATTGCTGCCTGCATGGAAAATTACTTCCTAATCCTCTTCAGCCAGGGCTGCTCTGTGTCCTCCAGCACAGCTCTGAACTCAGGACTTGTCTCACTGCAGCCAGCGAGTGGTCACTGCAAGTATTCTCTGCAGAGTATGGCATGATATTGTCTTCAGATGGGGCGGTTCTGTCATCCAAGTTTTATATCACCTACTAAATGTTTATTCTTGCTGTAATATCATGCCAGTAAATTGCAGAAGCTATATGATACAGAGAGTTAGGAATACCACACTTTTCATAAGAGAAAGGCTGTCTTCAGAATCTAAGCTCTCCTTTGTGTTTCTAAGGGGTAGCATACAAGGATGCTCGATTTAGATTTTATTTAGGCTTTGAGCAGTTTTGCCTCAGTGTGTCCTCAACAGGCATTATTCTTCCAGTCCCTCTTCAGAAGGGGCCCCTTCTGTTGTACGCTGCATTTGCTTGCTGTGATAGAAAACCTGAATTAAGTGCAGGATGTCCATGGGTGGGCATAGGTGCATGATTATGTGTTTGCTGTTGTTTTCAAATGGTTTAGTACACTTTTGAACTCCAGAGCAAATGTAACATTTAAGCAGATGCTTCAGCTGAGCTCTTCACTGTAATGGTAGGCCTGGAGGATACCAACAGTTGGACACACAGGATTGGAATGAATACCAGATCTCAGGGACCACTCCTTGCACCTGCAGGTGTTTAGGTAATGGAGACCAGACCCTATGCACTCCTACAGAACATGAACAAAATGCAGTAAGGTGGGTACTTGTGACTCACATGGCGGATGAAAAGCTGGACGTGAGCTAGAAACTGACTGCCCAGAAGGCCAACTCTACCCTGGACTGCCTCAAAAGAAGTGTGGCCAGCAGGTCAAGGGAGATGAATCTGCCCCTCTGTTCTGGTGAGACCTCACCTGGAGTACTGCATCCAGCTCTGGGGTCCTCAGCACAGGAAAGGCATGGACCTGTTGGGGCAGGTTCAGAGGAGGGCCACAAAAATGATTAGAGCACCTCTCCTATGAGGACAGGCTGAGGGAGTTGTGGTTGTCCAGCCTGGAGAAGGGAAGGCTCTGGAGACCTCACTGTGGCCTTTCAACACTTACAGGGGGCTTACAAGAAAGATGGGGACAGACTTTTTAGTAGGGCCTGTAGCAATAGGACAAGGGGTAATGGTTTTGAACTAAAAGAGGGTACATTCTGACTAGATGTAAGGAAGCAATTTTTTACAATGATGCTGTTTAAACTCTGGAACATGCTGGTTGGAGAGGTACAGATGCCCCATCGCTGGAAACATTCAAGGTTAGGCTGGATGGGACTTTGAGCAACCTAATCTAGATGAAGATGTCCCTGCTCACTGCAGTGGGGTTGGACTAGATGATCTTTAAAAGTCCCTTCCAACCCAAGCCATTCTGTGATTTTATGAATCTACAATACTCTTGCACTAGTCAGCACAAACTTTCCTGGCAGGGTCCTGTCTGTCCATTTACCATTTAGGTGCTTCTGAAAGGTCTTCCTGTCTCTGCTCCTTAATGTCCTAAAACCATCTGCAAATTTTCTTGTCTTTCCTTTCATAATTACCCAGCTGAGAAAGTAATGTTTCAAACACAGATGCCTTGGTCTATTTCTGTGAGACTTTGACATTTATTTTTGTTTTGTCCTGACTTTATTGCTACTGTGTGGTGGATGACATTCCTCTGCAGCCTCAGCACAGGCACTGAGGCACTGCTCGCAAGGGTCTCTACAAGGAAAGCTTTCGGCAAGTGTAAGCAAACATCATCCCATCTCCTGGGATATGTTGCTGAAGGGCTCAAAGAATTCTGGCAGGAACACAGCAATGGGAGGCAGCATCTCAGTTAGCGGGTCCAGCCCCCTCCCACGGCCACAGGAAACCCTGATGTGGATATTTAGTCCAGAAGCTAACACCCCACAACTCCAGTTCCACCTGTGCTCCGTGTCACCAGTCTGGAGGGACATTTCGGCACCTATAATAAACTTAAGGTTGCTAGTGCAACAAACCAAAGCTGAAAACCATGATGAACCACTGGAAGAGGTCAGAGATACTAATTCTTATCTTTCAAACGTGCAGAGTTAGATAAAAGTCTTCCAAATCAGCATGCTGTCCTGAACTAAAACTGTTCTGCAAAAGGAATAGTTAGCTACTGTTACTCTCTAGTTAAATCACCACGAGGAACTATTAATTTCAGACAGCCATGCCCAGCTACTGTAAAGTGTTGTGTTGGGCTCACACACTAACAATGTCCATCGTCCTGCACACAAGCTAAACTTGATCAACATGTTTGCATGCAAAGAATTTATCTGTCAGCTGTGGTTTAAACCCATAGTCATGTAGACCTTCATGCTCCTCTCTACCACAATCAGAAGCAGAACCTGCCAATGCTTACACTTTTCTGAGCATATCTTTGCAGGTAGATATTGACTGAAATCTAAAGATGGATGGATAAAAAGTCAGCTGGTACAGCTGCATCACTGTTGACACTGTTGTTAGCCAACAGCAAGTGGCCCTGGCAGGAGTCAAACTCCTCTAGAGGTTTCTGTCCTTGTGCAGCAATGAAGTGTGGCTATCGCAGCACATGCGCTTTTCAACATAGGAGGGCAAGCCTGCAACATGCCTTCAAGTGTATGAGGATAAAGAAAATTACTATAATTGCTATTAAAAATTTGAATTCGTCTACCTAGTACATATATTTGGCCTTTGCTCTGTTTTGGAGCAGAACAGCCTGCAGGTTCATGCCAAATTTGAGATTGGCTTTGGTTAACAGCAAAAACTTAAAATGAAAAATATTGATGATTTTTTTTCTTTAAATGTCAAAGTCAGAAATTACATTTTCTTTTCCTATTAAGCATGCTTTTCCCTCTTCTGGTCTCCTTTGCAGCATAAGCTGATAAAGATCATGCCCATAATTTTGCTTTTCTATCAAAAAAAGATTTTTTTTCTGTGTATGCAGACATCATTTTATATTTACAAAAGGCTGAATATTTCAAACGGTCTCTATGTAAAAATTACAAAAAAAAATTGCTCCCCTCTTTTGAATAGCTTTTAACTCTTTTGGTATAATAAGAAATTATTAAAAATTTTATATGTTAAATTGAGAAGATGGGAATACTAGGTGATATCTTCTTACTTCCTATACTTCTCCACTGACAAAAATGACAGTTAATGAGTAGGAATGGCTGCTGCAGACTTGTTCCATCATTCCAGGGAGTGGTTGGGGCACCTATGCTTCCATGTAACACTACCCTAGCTTAGTCCCAACATAGGCTCCTATATTCGTCTCAGAAAGACTTGTAAAATACATTTAGCAAAAGATAGAGGATGTTCTCTTGTACCTTGTGGGGTGTTCAGTCTGGTTTACACAGCATACTACCTCCTACACAGGTTGCAGCTGCAACCCAGAGGTTTTTAAGCCTCTTGAAACATCCAAATGAAATGTTGTTTCCCAACCCAAGCCCATCCGCTGACCTGCTTTTGAAGTAACAATCGTTTTCACTTCAAAAGAAATCAGACTCCTTTGCCTTCCCTGCCAGCTGAGGTGGGTCACTGCACCAGTAGGCTTTAAAGGCAACACAGCAAGAAATTAAGTCTGTGGAAGAGGAAAAGCTCTCCACAAAGACAGGTCAAAGAGTTGTTGTGTATGTACAAGGGATACTTTGGAGCTGTTCTTGATGTCAGCCAAGTCTTTCCTTTCCACCTCAGGAGGCAGAAATAGAGTGGGGTAGTGTAAAAGAATGTATCAGGTACATCTTTCCTCCCAGTGACTTAACACATGTTAGATCAGTTGGCCACAAGTCAGGACCAAGCTTAATAAAACACTTCAGGCTAATTGGCAGGGCCCACCTCCTGGAGGAGAACATCAAATTGCAATGCAAACACAGAAGTGTCACATCAAACCAAGCTATCTTTAGAGAGGGCCCAGCATCTAGCTCTTTCTCAATACATCCTATGTGTTCATGCACTTTTCCCAAATTGTCTGTTCTTTCCCTCACCTGGGCTGGAGCCTTTGCCTTCAGTCCTCCCCCTCTCCTGCTGACAGTCTGTAGATGTGGAGAGGGCTCACACTGGCTGAATCCAGAGCACTCTAGTAACACTTTGGAGGCAAGTGTGGACTTTGCATTAACTCACTCCAAGCTACAAAAGCAGAGCTGGTGGACAGTGCACACTGAAATATGTGCACAAAACTGCTGGGTTATAACCAGTATCAGTTATGATCTGAAAACCACAGGTGCAGCAGATCTCAGAGTTTCAAAACAAGAGCTATCTGTGAGACCAGGGCATATATTAGACAAAGTCTGAACACGCTGAGTATCTATGGAAACATGTTGAGAACCATTTGGGTACAATTACAACGTTGTGGCAGAACAAAGGAAAAACATGTAGCATAAGTTAATGCCAAAGGAGGCTACATAATGCCCAGAATATGTCTCCATTCCACCACAAATGATAACATCTGTTTGTATGAAAATGAATCAAGAATCTGATATTAATCAGAAAAAACAGAT